GGTGGTGGACCAGGATATGGAAACCAAGGTGGCGGATATGGTGGTGGAGGAGGATATGATGGTTACAATGAAGGAGGAAATTTTGGAGGTGGTAAGCTTTTCCTTGTTCTATTTAAATGTTAAATAGTGTCACTAATAACTTCATTATAGATATTTGAAAAAGTGTTAAAAGTTACCATTTAATTTTATGTTTTGTAATAATACTGAAGTGCTTGGGTAATAAATTTTCTTAGCTTTGCTGGCTGTTTCATAAATTAGCAAAAATGTACCTAACTCTTAATTGTGTGTAGTTAACAATGGACATTTTCCAGTATGCATATAAGAGATCAGTAATGCTTATTGCCACAATTTTACCTAAATCTTAGGTACTTTGTTTTTGTTGAGACAGTGTCTTGCTCTGTTGCCTGGGTTAGAATGAGGTATCGTGATCATAGCTCACTACAACCTCAAACTCCTTGGCTCAAGTGATCCCTCCTGCCTCAGCTTCCCAGAGTTCTAGAATTACTGGTATAATAAGCCATTGCAACCTGGCCATAGGCACTTTTAAACTGGACATAAGGGAACTCTAAATTTAACTATAAGTATTCAGACCTGCTTGATAAGAGTCTTTTTTTTGGTCAGGGTTTTTTGGGGTGGGAGGACCACACAGGGTCTCACCTCTTACCCAGCTAGAGTGCAGTTAGGTAATTATAGCTCCCTGCAACCTTAAACTCCTTGGACTCATTAATAGCTGGCACTTAACAGCTACATGCCATGCACTTGGCTGATTCTGTCCATGGTTTAAGTTACACTGCACCAGAACCATAGTGAATGGAACATTGACAGTTTTGATGGTGCTAGCAGTGGGATGGAGAGAACATGTGTTTAAGGAGTAACAAAATACTGATGTTCATGTTCTTTTAATACTGTGACATCTGAAGGTTACCTAGAAATAAGGCTCATTTCATCATTGTCTACTTTTGTTTTCTCCTCTCCTACCTGTGCCGTAGGTGTGATAAGGGGTATTCTGGGTTAGTGGTAGAGAATTTACTAACATCTATTTAAGGGGTTGACTGTGAGTGTGGTAGAGCATGCTACTATCATTGTCAGAAAGATAGTTACAGTAAAAAGGGAAGATGATTACTATGTAAGTAAACCACAAACCTTTTGTGATTTCAGGTAACTATGGTGGTGGTGGGAACTATAATGATTTTGGAAATTATAGTGGACAACAGCAATCAAATTATGGACCCATGAAAGGGGGCAGTTTTGGTGGAAGAAGCTCGGGCAGTCCATATGGTGGTAAATAATTTTTTTTTAATCAAAACTTGTTAGTGCCATTTAGTTAAAAAATTTATGTATATTTTTAAAAAAACATTCTGTGTTTTTAGGTGGTTATGGATCTGGTGGTGGAAGTGGTGGATATGGTAGCAGAAGGTTCTAAAAACAACAGAAAAGGGTAGGTATCTTTAAATTTTTATCATGATGATAAAGAATATGTGGAAATGTTCACTGAGTGTAATAATTTTTTTATCCTGTATTATTCAACAGGCTACAGTTCTTAGCAGGAGAGAGAGCGAGGAGTTGTCAGGAAAGCTGCAGGTTACTTTGAGACAGTCGTCCCAAATGCATTAGAGGAACTGTAAAAATCTGCCACAGAAGGAACGATGATCCATAGTCAGAAAAGTTACTGCAGCTTAAACAGGAAACCCTTCTTGTTCAGGAC